ATTTTCTCAAAATCCTTGATACCAACCGGTATAAACTACTGCAATCTCTTCAATAAATTATAAGGAATTGTGGATTTGATTTATCTATTTTTAGTCTCTACTCTACTATGCATCTATAATATTTCCATAGTCTTTCTGATATAATTTCCTATGCTTACTGATTGGCCATTTATTACTAACTTAGCAACACATTGTTTATCTTGAAAATATGTTGGCTTTCTTTGACTACCAAATATAACATATTTATTTTATTTGCAGCCATTTTTGGTCAAGAACTACTAAAAAGAAGACCAAGAAGACCAAACACCGCACACATATAGCATCTCTTTTTGCTAATATGTAAATAGCTATGTCATACCTGTTGTAACTACTATGGCACTTTAAGCATCCCTTAATCTGACGCTCTCATAGATGTAAATGTGTATTTTGATCAAAACCGTATGTAAATAGTCATCTACCAATTAGCATACAATATCGTCTACTTACTTTGTTGGGCCCATATACAAAATTAAATAATGTTGGGCCCGTGCTGGCACGGGCTGAGCCAACCTAGTATTCGTACTATACAATGGTCTGCACAATTGAATGTCTATAGTATTTTTCGTAAAAATAGCACGGTCTAGCCAGTTTTCGGACTGGTCATTCAAAAATAGCCAGCGTTTACCAAGTCAATAAAAAATAGCCACTATTTTGCTGCAACAGAGACCGGTCCAGCATAATATACTGGAGTTCGGTGCACCTGTGTATGAACTTCCAGCATATTATGCTGGAACTCCAACACACGGAAAGTTCCAACATAATATACTGGAGATTCGAGCACTTGTGTATGAACTTCTAGCATATTATACTGGACCGGTATACTTTGTTGGAACTCCAGTATATTATGCTGGAGTTGTAGTGTACTTATGCTGGAACTCCATCATATTATGCTGGAGTTCCAGCTTACTTATCCTGGAACTCCAGTATAATATGCTGGAGTTCAAGTATACTTATGTTGGAACTCCAGCATAATATACTGGTGTATTTTCCGGGTTTTGAACAGTGTTTTCGCTCAGATTTATCTTTACATGAAAAGTAGCTAAATTTCAATTACTTTTGAAACTGGACTATTTTTTTTTTTAGGTAATTAACATTTTATTAATCACCAATAATCTTTACAATGCATAGCCTGCTTTATAACTCAGCAGCTATATCTTTCAAAACTCAAAACATGAACAAGAAAGAAACTCCTACATACTATGTCTAATGAAAACTAAAGTGTTGAACTAGACTACTGATTTCTTTTGTAGCTCGTACATTACATATGTAGGCTATTTCTCTAGCTAAACTATTGACACTTCTACTTCTTTGTTGAAATGTTCTCATGTTTCTTTCAATCCAAACACCATGAGTTACCTCTGCATATACCATTCTGTATAGTTGTGCTTCACATGATCTGCCTTTAGCTCTTTGTGTTATCCATTCTTGATGTTGTATCCAGTTATCTCCAATTGCTTCTTGCCTTTGCATCCATTGTAGTACCTTGGACCACACTGCTTTAGTAAACGAGCAGTTGACAAACAAATGATCTCTGGTTTCCACAGTCAGCTGACATAGAGTACATTTTGGATCCACATTGACTCCCCATTTGATCAATCTATCTGTTGTTAGTAATTTGCCTTGCACTTGTAGCCACATTGTGAAAATGGCTTTTGGTCTAGCCTTGTTTTTGAACATCATAGATTTCCATGTAACTCTTGGACTATCTCCCAGCAACTGATAGTAGAACTAACTGATCATGCTCTTTTTGCCCTGCTGCCTGTGTTGCAGAACTGTTCTGGCATTTAAAATCTGTCTCACCATCCAGCTTGCCTGTTGTAGGGTTGCTATATCTTCTATCCTCTTATCTTTGATGTAGTATGTATGGATCCATCTTATCCATAATCTGTCACTTTTATTTGCTACATCCCAGCATAGTTTTGCAACAGCTGCCTTGTTCCACACTTGCATATTAATCAATCCATAGCCCCCTCTTGATTTAGGTGTACACATCCTATCCCAAGCCACCAGGGATTTCTTTGTGATGGTGTTAATCCCAGACCATATATAACTTCTGCAATAGGCCTCTATCATCTTCATAACTTTCACTAGTATGTTGAATAGTTGTGGCCAGTAGGATTGAATCCCAAACAAGACAGTCTGAACTAGTTGCACTCTTCCAGCATAAGAGAGTTTCCTGGCAGTCCATGAGGAGATCCTTGTAACTATCTTTCCTATTAAAGGTTGCCATTGTATCAAGGATAATTTCTTGGTAGCAAGAGGGATACCAAGATATTTAAAAGGTAATTGTCCTATTGTGTAGCCCAACTTTTGGATAATTTCCACCCTAGTACTCTGCAGCACTCCTCCAAAATATACCGAGCTCTTCTGCAAATTTGTCTGTAAGCCAGACACTTGAGAGAAATGATTAAAGCAATCTTGGATGTGAGAATTGAGATCACCCCTAGCAAATATCAGAAGATCATCTGCATAGCTTAAATGAGTAATCCCTAATTTTGCACACCTTGGATGATACTTGAAATCTTTCACCTCCTTCAATTTGTTAAGTCTCCTGCTAAGGTACTCCATTACAATTGCAAACAAGAAGGGGGAGATGGGATCACCTTGTCTTAAACCTTTGGCAGCATCAAAAGGTGGAGTGGTCTCTCCATTAACCATAACAGTATAGTTAACAGTTTTCACACATTCCATTGTCCAGTTCACAAATCTTTCTGGGAATCCCATTTCAGTCATAACTTGCTCTAAGAAACTCCATTCTACTGAGTCATAAGCTTTTTGGAGATCAATCTTGATCATGCATCTGGCAGAGATGTTTTTCTTTGTATAAGCTTTGATTAATTCATGAGCTAAGATAATATTATCTGCTATCCTCCTTCCAGGTATAAAACCAGACTGTGCTTCACTTATCACTGATGCTATCACTTGTTGTATTCTGCCAGCTAGAACTTTAGAGATTAGCTTGTACAACATGGTATAGCAAGCAATAGGTCTGTAGTCTTTTATTGTGCTAGGGTTGGTCATTTTAGGAACCAATGTGATGGAGGTACAATTCACTGCTTTATACAATTTCCCAGTTCTGAAAAACTCTTTCACTGCTTGACTGACTTCTCTTTTGACAATCACCCATGACTTCTTGAAAAAATAAGCATTGTAGCCATCAACTCCTGGTGCTTTGTCACTATCAATAGCACACAAACCATTATAGATCTCTTTATCAGTCACCTCAGCACATAAAGCAAGCTTCTGCATTTGTGATAGTTTAGGCCCATTCTTCATGATCATTTTATCTATTGCAGGTAGAGTTTGAGCTGCTGAACCCATTAAAGATTTGTAGAAACCCACCACTTCCTGCTTTATGCTGTCAGGATGAATCAGTTTATCTCCCCTGATTGACATAAGCTCATTTATTTGCTTTCTCTGATTTCTTTCTTTCATAACAGCTGCAAAGTACTTTGTATTGGAGTCTCCCAGTTTGATCCACTTAGTTCTTGCTTTCTGCCTTAAGACACTTTCTTCAATAAGGGACCACTTTTCTAAGTTCTGCAACAAACTTTTCTCTTCTTCAATCAGATTATCATTGCAAGCTGCATTTATCTTCTGCTGCACCTCTTCTAAAGTTGTTCTAGCTTGTTCAATCTTCATGTTGATGGTTCTATATTGCTCAGTGTTTAGGGTCCTAAGCAGGGGTCTTAGTTTCTTCAGTTTGATCCAGATGTTCTGCATAGTTCCCTCAGTGAAAGATTGATTCCAGATTCCTTCCACAATGGATAGGAAACATTCATGATCTGCCCAGACATTAAAGAATCTGAAAGGGATTTTGCCAGGTTTGGGAGCTGAATGGAGAGTTAAAATCATAGGACTATGATCAGATATGTATGGTAGTCCATATTCAGTAGCCACATGCCCCCATTGCATCATCCACTCATCATTGCCAAAAGCTCTATCTATTCTACTGCTGATCCTGTCAATACATTGTTGTTTATTAGACCATGTGTAATATTCACCTGTCCATGCCAGTTCATTCAGGTTTAGACTAGTTACACACTCAGCAAAATCCTGCACTTCAGTATATGTAATGGGGTTGCCCATATGCCTGTCATTT